CACAAGAAAAGATCATTGGCTACCTTAGTTTCCACCAATCATATTGCATCACATCTTGCGTCATACTGCTCTTCTCTGCATTTTACCTGATTGGCTGGAACGGTCCCCCAATGCCGTGTATCCGAAGGTTGTGCACGTGCTACTGGCGTCAGTGCTCAAGATCGATTGACTACCAATGTCTGGAAACTTTACCGCACTGCTCCAGGGCAGACGTGATCTCGTAGATCCGAATCACCACAACTCTCCTCCCTCAAAAGAGCCTCGTCGAATTGGTTTGCTCTTCGGATTGGTCTCCGGAGTGCTAGTGGGGAATTCTCGTCAGTAGAAGAGTTCACCGTCATCCAGGGCGGCTCCATCCATTCGCTTCCTCTACCGTGGGATGAAACTTTACCCATAGTTCTTCTTGGTATTCGCAATTCGCTCAAAGAGGATCTCTAGTGCCCTGCAGCCGAGTAAGATTTTGGCACAACTTTGCGTCTGCCTGGAGACCATATTTCTCCTACCACGCAAGAGAAGTTTACTGACATAGACAACTATGTCTCGCGCTTCCGGTTCCCTATGGGAAAACTGACACCTACTGAACCGCGTCCACAGTCACGACGCGTATTTGTTCATAATGATCTGGCCCACGGCACTCATTTCTGGGTTTGATTCGATGGTGTCCGCAAACCTGTTCTCCCACCCTACGATGATCCCTTCAAAGAGGTGCGTCCTGAATCCAAGCTCTTCATTATTGATCGCAATGATAAAAGGGATAGCGTGTCCCCGGATCGACTAAAACCTGCCAATCTGGACCCCCTTTTCGACTGTTCACTCACCCTCCTGTGAACCTCCTGCATCTTTACCCACTTCTTCTGTCCCTCCTCCGGCGACAGCACTCACAGCGGACCCCATCTTACGCTCTGCCCTAAGAACTATCACCTCTAGCAGATCAGGTCTTACAGTTCATTTCCCTTCTAGGAAAGCTGAATAGTGACTAGACGATTCATGCGCTTTTTTCATTCACTTTTCGCTGTTTTTGACGTCCTCACGCGTTTTGAAAACATCAAAAAAGTTCAAGAAATCCGTGAAAACCAAAATAGGTCACAGAACTGGACGACCAAAAAAACGCGTTTTTCCTATTTTGCGTTCCTACGGTTCCGCGTAGTTGAAGCATCGGTTTCATCCGTTCTTTTGTGTACTGTTTGTTTTCACGAGTCGTCCTTTTCAAAGCCCCACAAGCTGCTCTGAATATTAACCACTTGAAGATCTTTCGGTCAATTATACTGAACATGGACCAATTTCCCTGGAACTTGCGATGAAAAAATGTTTGAGAACTCTATTAAGAGCTGGTCTTTTTATCGCACTCACGACACCTAAGGCAAAGACGAGGCGGGTAGCGTCCTAGAATACCTTGCGTTAAGCGTCTCCACCGCTGACTGTCACCTCACTCATAGGACCGCCCGACAGTGTCCGACGCATTTGAATGTCCTCAGTTAGACAGTTCGCCGCACCTCAACTCCTCTTCAAAAAAAAGTTACTGGTCGCCGAACTGTGTGATGTGCAAAATACCAACCAAATAATAAAATCCATGTGCTTAGTGTTACTGCCTGTACATAGACCCTTAGTCGAATTGCTGGTATCAATTGGCCATACCTGTTAACTGTATGCTTCATTTGATTTTGTTTTGCACTTGTGTCTTATGACCAATCCTTTTTCAGCTGGAGTGTTAATGGTGTCGCTACACATAGTTAGGATTCGGTTTGAGACACACAGTGTCCATACAGCTGTTTTGTTTTTCGTTTTTGCCTAGCTTCGACACCAAAATCCCTAGCCCTTAGCTCCTATTGGTAGAAGGGTTCCTATGGCATCCTTCTTGAGAGGGGGTGGGTGATGTAGTGGCTTGAGATCGACAGTGTAACAAGCTCGAGTGTTGTCACCATCTTTCTCTGGCTGTTCCGCATGTATGCTTTCGCATGGTTGCAGGCATTGGTTACTTGGAGCATTCGCTCGTGCATCCTTCTCCGTTGTAACATAGATTCCGCCAGGATCTTCGATATCCTGAGACCGCTTCTTCAGCTAGGTGTTTTATCTTTGTTTAAGTCACTGCCACCTCCGGTGAAGTAACTTTCACATTTAACGGTGCGTGATTTCAGTGCTACACCTTCTCTCGCTAAACACTTTTCGATTCAGAAAGTTCAAGGTCAGTCGATCGATCCCCATTTTCCAAGCCATGAAAAAATCCCAACTGGAGACCAATGTTGCTCAAACATTTTCTCGGTTATTACGTACCCTAATCATATCGCGGGTTTCAATAAGGCAGCCAAGAACCCAAAAACTTAAAGGGAAATTTATTTAACATAAAAAATTAATTATTCGTCAATATAAATGAACGAGTTCGCGCGAGGGAAATGTACCCATACCAAATCATTAAGAATTGCACCTTCCATATAACTGTCAGAAGCTATTCTGAATACTATGCTGAAACTTTCAGCCTAAGGTCATCGACGAATACAAAATAAAACTAACTGACTTTCACTACGGGGTCTGTGATTACTTCGTCGGCAATACTATGGATAAGCTTCGTGGGCATAGCATGAAACTCTCCAAACCGCGTGCCCGTGAACTAATGCGCCAATTTTCTCCTATCCACGGGGTCATTCCACCATGGAATCGGCTCCACAACGAACTAGGTAATGCCCCCACAAATTCCTATCTCAAATGGAATTTATATCGATATCTTGGTCCCTGAACGGAATTTATAACCCAAAGACAAGTAAATCAAATTGGCGTGGTCCTAAAAGAGCCGTTTTCAGTCACTTTGGGCTTTTGACGTTCACGCTCATCGACTGAGGCAATGTACACAAACGTATGCTTCCTCTCCACTGTAAGCAGCGCAGCTGCTGCGCATTCGTCACTCGCATTTCTTGCGCTGGATCCATTGTTGCTCATCGTCCAAATCGACCGTATTCCATGCAGATTTCCAGACACTGCAACAGTTGGCGTTCATTGGTGATGCCGGATTGGTTTGCCTTCTGCGTTTAACGTCCAGTTTGTACTTCGCTGATGTCGTTGTTGTCAGTCTTCGGAACGCAGCATGCTCCAGTGGGTCACCTAGGACTATTTCGTCGTCCTCATTGTCGACTGATCGACTCACTAAAACTGATTTCCGCTTTTCAATAGAACCGCTTTTTGAAGCTACCGGTGGATTATTAGTTCTCACCTTGACGCTCGTAGACGGAAGATAGGTACGCTCAATCTCCGTAGTCTGTGTTGCCAAGCTCTGTCTATCAAATAATATCTGGATGTCCGGATACTTCCCTGTCATAGCTGCTACACGCCGAAGTTGATTGCATTGAAAATCGTAATGCACTGTACCTGAACTATTCAAAGAGACGCCCAGCTCTTGAAGGAAATCGTCTGTTTGAGCCAACTTTGATGGCCTACCCATGACGTTTCTTGAGGCCGCTATTACCACAGTGGAGTTTTGATCTGAACGCCTTTCGCTGCGGTTTATAATCCACCTATCTGGAATAAAACTTTGAATGTCCCAATTAATCAGAATAAATACCCTGGCTATATTCAAACAGGGCAACAACCATTGCGCATAAAAATTACATTCACTCTTCGTTTCTCCTGCGGTAACTACTGTATGACCCTTGCCCTTACTATCCACCACCATGAAGAACCGTCTCTCGTGGACAATTCGTTCAATCTTACATGGCTTCCAGTTACTTAATAATATATTCCGCGCAAATGGTGTTATTCGTATGAGCAACGGTTTAAACGACTGCATGCCATTGAGTGTCGGATACCCCCTCATGGAATCTTTAGCAAGGCGAATTCCATGCGTCACTTCCAGTGACCTTACTCGTTGTAGCACTTTCTTAAATACATTCACTAATGAAGACCGAGGAGACAAGCCTGTCTTGAGGTGCCTATTTTCCGTCTCCACTCGGTTGGTAGTTAGGTTTCCTAAAGTCAACCTAGTCCTCACGGCATACCCTGCCACTGCTCTCGGTATGGTAACCAAGTACCGCGTGAATAAACACGTGCTTCTGTGCTACGACTTTCTACGGCGGTTAGGAATCTACGAAACGATACCTCATTATCACAGTACACCATGTTGCGCATCCATTGAAAGATGAACTGCTTTTCGAACGTTGGAAAGCCAGATAGCTGGTTACATTTCTTCTTCATATCCTTAATGCGATGGGAACGACAAAATATCACGTCAGATGACGGAAAGTATTCTGAAAACGCGTTGTACTGAGCGAAGCTACGATCAACTACCATAGTCTTGCATTTTCCAAAGACTAAGCACATAGCTTTCATGGCTCCCACGGCAGCTCTATAGCTCTCACAGCTCTCATTCGGCAAGATAGCGTAGAAGAAACTTCTACCTAAACTGGTGTCAGCTACAAGCATAGCATGCCAAAGCACGTACCCACCACAGTTTAGCTGAGATGTGGCGTCCGCTAACAAAACATCATTAAACCTGGCGACACAGTGCAGTATAATCATAGAAACAAAATAAATGTGACGAACGACGCCTTCGTTCAACCCTATCCTAACTTCTCCCTGATTCTCCAGGATATCTCTAACTTTCACCGCATCGCCACGTGAATCCGAATGAGACCGTCTTCGACTTATGGACCTTGTATCTGCTGTAGTTAAGGGTTTCTTGAACTTGTATGTGGCGAAATCCCTTAGCTCGCGAGTACTTCTAAAATTGTCCATCAAAGGACACACTTCCTCTTCCTGTTCTCCAGATAGACGACGATTACTTATATACAGACCCCGCTGACCCACATGGAAGTCATGGTTGTGCACCAGACAACGTTTCATCACTCGGTACTCCCATTCGACCGCGAGAATTCCAACGAATGCCGGAAAGTCGACATTTTGCAGCCTAAAATGGGTTAAATACATTAGAAATTAGAGGCATAATTACCTGGTTGCCGTTGAGCCGCGCCTTCTGTGATGTACACAGCAATATTTGATGAAATTATACGGAAACCATCAGGCAGAGTCAGTTTCCGACCAAACTTTCTTCCCCGTATCAGTTGCTCGGCTGTCATTAAAGCATAAACGTAGAAGGAAGCGCAAGTGACTATTTGGAATTCACGGAAATCCTCCATGAATCCATCCAACGATCCATAGCAATTTTTTACCATCCGTTCAAAACTGACCGTATCGTCAACATAAGCCATGGTTGATATGAGCGTGGAAGTGATCGTCGCCATCAGGTTGCGGTATTTATACTTTCCGGACAAGTCAAGTAAGGTTAATTAAAACAAACTAAATTTGAGCTAATCACTCAGAATCAGCTAAAAGCAAAATCTGCCCCAGTTCGGCTGAATTCGACATCGCTTTTTCTAAAATACATTTAGAAATCGATCGTTTTTCGAAATCCTAATAGTTGGGATGCCACGTCACTACCAATTAAGTAGCCCCCCGTAGTACTAAACGCGGTCAATTTCACTTGTGCGCCCTTCTACTATAAAAATCCCTCCGTGTAGTTTTCCGTGGTCGAATCCCATTTCTCGACTCGAGGAATTACTCAGTCCGATTCCAAATTTCATCACGTATTGCAAGCTCTACCCTTGGATGCTGCAGAACTTGTTTGACGTCATCAATCCCATCCCAGAGGAGCGTCCTTACGAGACTCTGAGAGACGCTGTCTTAACACGTACCGGCTTGTCTACCCAAGAGAAAATCAGGAACGTAGTCCGGGGAATGATCCTGGGCTCTCTTAAGCCTTACCAACTCTTGCGCAACCTGCAGCAAGAGCTCTTCCCTTTTAATTTCGACGAAAACTTGCTTCGTGAACTTTGGGTTCAGAAGCTGCCGAAGGCTGTATGCATGGTCCTGGCACCATGCGTTGGTTGTCCCCTCAGCGTTGCGGCCGAAGTAGCTGACAACACTGTGGCGTTCTATTCTCAGGGAACCCCCATTAATTCTTCTACCCTAGTCGAAACAGCTGATCAGTCAAGCGCCATTGGCACTCGACTGGCCGCTACTTCGGCTCGCCGAGATAGAGTCGAATAGGCCAACTCATAGCTTCATCAACGATTACCCGGTCCCGAAGCCGGTCACGTGGCAGCTCTAGACGCTTGGCCTAGGCCTAGGTCTCACCCCGTAGACCCTTATGTTGGTACCACTACAAATGGGGTGCCCAAGCACGCCGGTGTATTGCCCCGTGTCAGTGGTCGGGGTCCAGTAAGCAGGGAAAAGGAACGGCCAACGAGTAGGAGCGGTACTACCCGTTGGCCTTAAACCCGGTAGCCGCCTCTTTCATCACCGCATCCGCCCCAACCGATTATGTATTTTCACATAGTCACTTCCCTTCCTACAGACATTGTGGAACAGGTGTTTGAGTTTATCATCACCATGCCCGAGAATGACCAGTACACTCAGGTTAAGGAAGCATTGATCACCCTCAACGCTGTGTCGGATGAACGCCTGCTGCAAACCTCCTGCTCACTGTCTCTAGCTCAACATTTGAGCGCACCTGTTAGAGTTAGACCGGGACAACAGCCCTCTACTCGAGATCCGATCTTTTCCAGAAATCCGGCAGAGGTAACCTAAGTGTCCATGGAAGTACTGCTACGGAGAAGAGACCACTGCAAGGTACACTTTCTTTTCAGACAAATGGCATCCCCAAGGCCTAAGCTGAGAACCCGAAGTTTCCACGCTGTCAAGGTAGGAGAACAACTTGAAAGCGCAAGGGACATAGACTGATACAGCTTCGGCACCGTGGAGGGTAGATGGGCTCTCTTGCTTAGAGAAATACCTTCCCCAACAGAGAAGCACGTCCCACTAGGGGTAGGAAATCCGCGGAGCAACAACCCAAGGTGGAAACCCAGGATCCGCAAAGCCCTCGAAAGAAAACGGTTAGCTCGGAACATTTACATTCGTCCTAAGAGTTTCATCTCGTATAGAAAGTACAAACTCCTAAGAAACCAAGCGATCAAGATTTCCAGAAAGGCCAGACAGGTGTACGAACTTGGCATCGCAAGAGACGCCTTTACCAACTTCACTCATTGCTTGCAAATCGATGGATTCTAATTTCAGTATATGCGCAGACTTTCGCCTTTGAAGTGTTCTCGTAGTGGCTTGTGCTCTGGAACTTACTCGCATGCGATTTGGTATGGTTATCGGTTTATTCGTTCCGGAATTTTCTGGATTTAGAGGAAAAAAAGCGGATGGCGCTGTTTCTGTTTCTTGATGTCAAGGTGGAGTATTGCTAGCATGAGTCCGGAGAAATGAAGCTCCATGCTAGGTTTAACTCGCGCTTAAACGTCTGGACCGATTGACATGACACTTCTGTTGCCGGAAGCCGGATTTTGCAGATAGGGTGGACTCGCGTGATACTCTCACCCCTAGGTCTGTCGTACTGTTCTTCAACGGTAGGGGTTCCGGAATCCTAAGAGCGTTGATGAAGAGGATTCAAAATTGATTGAAAGCATGCGGCTCTTCAGCGCATTGAGTGAAAGATAGAACTGGGCTGATGATCCACATATTTTGTGGATGTCAGCTTGGATGGTGTCTAGTTGGTTACTGTTTCTCACCAACCTAAAGCCGTCAGCATAGAGCAAACAGAAGTTTTCAAGGCCTCCGGTGATATTCTAGTATCTACGTCGTTGCTGATTTTCGTCAGAATCTATCACTGATGTCTTCTCACGTTCGTTCTTGATACCCGTCTTAAGAGGAAACATAACCAAGCAGTGTCATTGTAGAAATGATATATTCGGTCGCGACGCCAAATGTAATATTGTGAATAGTATTCGAAATGGGATTCCAGAATTCGCGCAATACCAATCCCCGAAATAGAAAAACTTCGAATAGAATAGCACACGAACTTTATTCGAATCGTATATTATGCATATTCAATGCATTTAAAGTGTACAGGGAATTTAGAGATCAGTGTCACACATCACAGCAACGCAAGAAAAGAGTTACGACAAAGATAATCATTGTGGATTAGGGAAGATTTTCAAATATTCAAGTTGAAATACAACGCCTGAGGTCTTCATTACCCTAGAATACGTCGATAGGT